AGCTTTTTCAGAACATTGCTTAAGAAAACTCATGCAATTCACATGAAATTATAGATCAACAGTCCAAAGAGATAAAACCGAGAAGACCTGAGAATCAGGAAAAAAACCTCACCAACCAACCCTGTTCTCAAACAGCGCATCCATTACCCCCTCAGCAAACCACTCATGAAACCTTCATACTCAGCTTGAAACCCTCAAACAAAACAAAGTGAAAAAAACAGGAGACACTGCAATCAGCCTGGAAATTTATACACAGCTTTGGCCAGCAGATATAAACTACCATAGTCTGCAAAGTCTCAGAGGAGGAAGGCTTAAAGTAGCAAGATGAGGACAGGGAAGGGGAGAGAAGGAAGCACAGAATTTTACTCCCCTCAGCATTGAAGTGTATTCTTATTTCCCTAGAGCACATAATAAAATATACATATAAAAGAGAAAAGAGAAAAAACAAACTTTTTTTTTGACCAAGATGGTTTTAAAAGAAAAAAAAAAGTAGTTTGTAATGTGCATTTAGTAATAAATTATCAGTAAAGCTTCATGAGATGCATAGGAAGCACAACTGGAGCTCAGACCAGTGCAGGTACAATGCTCTGCATAAGTTATGATGTGGGATATGCATTCCACAGCTTAATCAACTTTGGCTCTTAAAAAGTAAGTCTTGCACAGCATGAATTGTAAAACTATACCAGCAAAAGTGTTTCTTGGAGTTCTAAACAATATTTAAAAGTAATTCAATAAAAAAAGCATTTAATGGGAGCAAGGGGCAAATGGGATAGGAGCCTTAACAATATTAACAGGTTTGTACAAACAACCACATCCACCCAAAAGCATAATCAAATAAAGCAATAGTTATGTTATAATCATCAACACAGAAAGTCCCCCTGCATGCTAAGCCTTTGTACTTAAGATGCAAACCTCTGCACCAGATGTAAAATCTGGCTCCCCTTTCCTGCTCTGTACCTGTCTGCCACTTGTGTACGATTTGTTTTCTGTCCATGTGCATGTAGCAGATTAGCAAAGAGAAATCTAAACTCTAACTTGAGCATCACAAACTGTATTCACTCCTGCAATGTTAGGTTCTCCTGTAACTTGCATTTCTTACTAACAAATGTCTGTCAGACTTTGCACTCCAATGATAGCTGGAAAGGGCAGATGAAGTCCCATCAAGACACTCATCCTTATGATAGTATCTTGCCCATCTAAACCATAACATCTTTCTTGTTACTGTTTAGTAATAAAATAAAGCCTCCATGGTCCACCTCACACCACTTAACTGGCAGGAATATGAATTACTGTAGCAGGTGGGCCAATGTGGTTTTAAAAGCAATGTAATACAATCAACTGTACAATATCAGATTTCAAGAAACACAAAAGACATCTAGAGCAGAGTCTGATCCTTAAGCAATCCTAATATTGGCATTAAAGTGTTCAAGATCCCACAGGGACCATTTTATCTTTTGACCCCAGGCTTTAATTGAAACTTGAAACAAAACATATTACCTATTTAATGCAGCTGAGCTGGACTCTGGCGTTTGTAGTGCATGTTGCCATGCCAAGCAAATTAATCTGTGTAACCTTAGCATGTACTTTTTAATTTACATCAAAGAAATATGACATAGAGAAAATAAATGCCAAGCCAAACCTACACAGCTTGTTGAATAATTATTTTGAATCTAGTTTTAGAGTTTTAATTTTTAGCTGTTTGGGACTCTTTTAACCAAAAGAAAAAGCCCCCCAAAAGGGGGGTGTGTGTGTGTGCCTCTGTGTGTGTGTGTGTGTTCATTTTCTTGGTACAAAGCCAGAGAAACATATGGTTTCTTTAGCTGAGTTGTTGCACACCTGGCAAAATAAATCACAGCAACAGGAGACTGCCCTGCAACTTCTCATATGCACAAATGTAGAACATCCAGCGCTGGTATTCTGGCCCTGCCTTTTGTACCATGAATAAATGCAAAGTCAAATGGACGGCTTGCTTCTTGAGCCCCAGTACTTCTTTTTTGTTTAAGAGTCAAGTTACTTAAGGTTTTAAAGAATGAGAGTCAGCCAGGCAGGCTGGTACACTGGAGGAGTGAGTCACTGGGCCTGCCAGAGTGAAAGGCCAATAGAAGCAAGCACAGGAAAAGAAGTGTAACACAAACAGGTAAAGCAGGTGGTGTAAAGGCTTAACACTGATGGAGTGCTAATGCTACTGTACTCAGAGTGCTGGAGTTCAAACCTATTTCAGTTTAAACAGTTTGTCTCCTATTCTCTTTTGTCATATACATCATACAGGGGAAAAAGCTTACATAAAAGCTTCAATGACATCATTGAATAATTACAAAAAATTAGAGAAAGCAATGTTTTCTTAGCTCATATGCCAATATGTGGCAATTTGCATGTCACTGAACCAAGCAGAGTGATTGATAGAGACTCGGAATACATTAATCACAGTAACAACTGCAGCAGATAATCCTCAAACTCTAGCTACTCTCGGACTTCATGATAAACCATGAAGACTTTTTCCACATGTAAAAAAACAGGCAAAGACCCTTCCTTCCCAAGCAGATGGGGAGCACTTCCCAGTTTTTCCCCCTTCTCTTTAGCAATAAGCATATGGAGAGTGGGCATAGCTCAGTGTCAGATTCATGCAGTTAAAGGCACACAAGACAGGACTGGCCTATTTCAGTTCCTCCAGTCTCCCTTTTAAAGGCAAGAAGCAGGCAGACAAGTTTATGTAAAGCTGTTTATCAGAGAAAGTGTTATAGCAAACATGTTTGTAATTTTATCTTGAACTTCAAAACAGAAATAAACAATCCAGCTGGCCTTCTGATGCCCAGTGACACGGTATGAACTGCAGAGTGGATGTACTCCTGATAACGGATGTCGTGTCCTTGTTCTCCTGTCACACCCAATGCAAAGAGATGACTGAATGGGTGTTTAGGATTTATCTCACACAACTTGAGCTAGTAAATCTAAGCTAGCTATCTCAGCTCCTTTTACAGGAGAAGTATGCTTGCAGGGGTTTATTTGTATAATCTAAAATAAATAATCTAAATCAGATGGTCTTAATTACTCCCCAGAGGTTATCTTTTCCTTTCCACCCTATAAAGTGAGTCTAGCTACCTAGCTTTGTCATGTCATCTAATTTTTACACTAATACAGGTAAGAGAGACTAACCTAACTCACTCCACTACTGCTCAGATAGACACATCCAGGACAGCTTTAAACAAATCAGTCTGAGTATTGCTGTTAATATAGCAGCACTGTGCTAAATTCAAGTCACTACCTGACCCTTTATGTAGCCCCTTGGGTTGCCTTTGCAGCATAGTAAACAAGCTACACCTCAGCAACTGGTGTGAAGCAAGTTCTGGTTTCCCTGCAACAGCTGCCATCACAACAGCAAACAAAATACAAATAAATGCTATGTTAATGATTAGTTTCACTTTACCAAGCTCCATAATAGCCTGTTGCTCTTTGCAAGGTAAGCTCAGCTGACCCTAACTTGTTATGCCACTAGGACATCCATGAAATGCTGGCAGCTGACTAAAAGAAACAAGCCCAAGTATGGGCTAAGCAGTGCACGGAGGAAGTGTAGCAGCAGCCAAACCCAGGCAAAGGACTGAGCTGGTCTTTGTATTCACTATCGCTTTGACTTAATAAATGCAAATCCCAGGAACAGAGTGAACTTGTACATCATGGACTGTGCTTATAAAGGGAGCTGAGAAAGACATTCTGAACCTAAAAAAGTAACAAATGGGAAAAATAAAGTAAAGAAGTAAAGAATTGTATAGGTCAGGATGATCTTAAAGGGAGCATCTACTAATGGGAACACAAAAAGTGGCACAGGCTCACTTTGCAGTGGAACAACCATCATGCTAGAAACAGTGCTGGTCTACTTTTTCCAATTTTTGTACTTCCAAGGAGCACTTTAATCAAAATTATGAAATATATATTTGCACTAAAGAGGGCAGTCAGAGTTCAGAGGATTTGCTGGAGCACTGCAGTACTTCAGCCACTACAGGACACTGATAGCAAGCAGAAGTTTAATTTACACAGTGGTGACTGTTTTGATAACCCAACTGAATTTACCAGCAAATCCTGATAAAACTGATAAAACAACAGTTGCACTAAGATCCTCTGTGAAGTACATGCAATAATCAACTTGTGTGTTCTAGAGATTTTAGCCATTTGTATGAATATGACAAAGCTCAGCACTCAGGGAAAATAAGTCTCCACTGAATTGTATGAATTCTTAAGGAAGTGTTTATAGTATTATTGACATTAGATACTTTGTCACTATGACAAGAAAAGTAATTAATTTAGCATTTACAGAGGCATAAATTAATTTAGGTTTTACAAACACATAGCATCAGTTACAACTACAATTTTAGAATATTTTTTTCCTATGCCCTAGTACTTGTAAGGAGCTAATAAAAGATGTCTTTCTGAATAAGTAGACAGAAGTGAGTGGTGCCTCCTTTCTGCAACTGTGTCAAACCGAATGACATCAACCAATACATTCTCTCATACATTAGGTACTGGGAGAGAAGGGAGGGATGACCACAAAACCCCACATGCTTCCTGTTTATCCTAATTGTTTCCACATATAGTTTTAATTGCTCTACCTTGAACTACTTTAAAGTAAAGCATCTTACATCCTTTTCTGTCCCAGAAAGGAGCTCACAGAGTTTACTGGGCCAGACATTGAGGCTGCTTAGAAGAAACAAATGCCCTTTCAGAGAGAATTCCACTTAATTCTCCATGCATTCTAAACATAAACATGCTGCATAGACACTCCTAAAGACATCAAGTATCTAACAGTCATATATCATTTAGTGTGCCTTATGCAGTGTTGCAGTTGCTGTCATTTAAGCTCTGAACCTGGTTTGGCTTGTATCTACTGAAAGCAATTATTTTGGTTTTGTTAGCTAATTCATTTCAGCACCAGTTGCCTGGCTAAGCTTTTTTGTATCACCCTGCCTAACACCTTAAATACCTTTCTAAGGCAGTAACAATGCACTTACCCATCATGTTGTATAAGCTCTGTGGGGCAAACTGCCTTGGCATTTTCTGTATTGCTTCTTTGTAAACCATGAGGGCATCCTGAAAAAGAGACACACAAGTGGGATAAATCATTAGTAAAGAACCAATTTCAAAACCAGTCTTTCACATATACAGTAAAACCAAACTATCTTCCTTTCAAAATGAAAGGTGCAGAGAGAAAGAAAACACATCATAAATACCAGAGAAAATTAAAATTTCTCATTTATATGTTTTTACAAAGTCAGTAAAGCTTATTGACAAGAGATCAAATTAGTTCCAATATTGCAACTCTCTTCTCTATCCCTCAATGACTCACGAGTTTATAAACATATATTGTATAGACTGTCAGAGAATATGGAATAATATCAAACTGCAGACAAAGGACTTTCTGATGACTAAGCTACACTAAGTGACCTAAAATTATTGTCTACTGCCAAGTAATAACAAAACATAATCCATACAAATGAAGTCGGCTCCACAGAAGGAATGACAGAGATTATAGTGTCAAGAATGCCAAAATTGGATTCCCTTGCAAATGTGCCGTGCCTTGAATTACTTGATCACACATCTATGATTCATTCAACACTTAGTATGCTTACTGGTCAGTCTGTTAGCTGTGCATAATATTCTGCATCATCCCATCAAACAGTCACAACCTGTGAAGGCTGAAATACGCTTGAGAAAATCTAAGTGTATGATCAACTCAAGGCTGGATCAGACTGCAATGATCACCAAGCAGAAATCTGATGGTTTATATTCTTAAAATCCCTTGTACCTCCCAGGCATCAAACTCCACCTCTACGATCTATTGGTCGTGCAGACAACATGCTGCTGTTCTCTTATCTTTATGGATGTATTAGCTGTCTGTGTTTTAACCAATTAGTAACTGCCATCTGAGAAAGCTGGATTCAGCATACAGATGACAAAGAGTTCACGGAGCTTGTGCATGCCTAATCTTAAACAGCTGAATTAACTGTCATGGTCAGGAAGAGTTATATGGATCAAAACCATGCATAACTCCTGTCTGAAGTATGCTCAGCAAGGCAAAGGGAGAACGACTCCTTCAAATACTGCTAAAGGTAAAAGTCAATCAAATGTCCAGTTTTAGTAATTTCATCAGGGAGAATGGAGAGGAATCACAACAGCCACATTTGCACATGTAAATGAAATGGGATGGGTTGGGTACAGCATAGGGTTACATTAAAGATATCCAACCCACATCAGCACTTATCTGAAAATAGCACATAGTGGGATGTTTTTAATCACTGAAGTTTTGAATTGTTCCAACTAGTTCTTGTTTTTTGAGGCTAGAAAGCAAACATAATTGCATTTTTTCAACTAAAGAGGGACTTACTCTGTTTTGAATAAAAAGCCAGTACACTTTAGATCGGCTGGTCTGTAATCAGGCTATATTCTTTGCATACCAGCCATGGGGATAAAGACAAAAGGAATGAATTAACACACAACAGATGTGACCATTGCTAATGTTGACCTGACATCAGAACATCATGCTGCTAATTAACGTCATCACACCTGTGGCTATAAAGAATAAATATTCCCTGTAGAGAATGCTAATCTTGATTTGGTGAAATTCAATCAACTTGTGCCTGTGATGTATTTTGAAAGTCTGGCTGGAAGCAATAGCTATTACTTATGTATGAAAGTTTTATCATTATACAGCAGAAAAATCTGGAGTCTTACCTCATAGTGTCCTTGCTCATGAAAAAGTTTTCCTAAGTTATAAAGACAGCTAGTAACAGAGCTTTTGTGGGCATGAGGGTCTTTCAAATTTTCATCAGGGATCTCTGAACACTTCAGGAAAGTCCTCCTGGCTTCTTCTGTCTTCCCTTGGTTCATCAGGATGATACCAGTATTTAAATAGGCAGCTGTGAAGAGGGAAAAAATATTATCTCTTGATGTGGTTCCAATGTTTCAAAGTAATATTTGAAAGATATTACTTCAAAGTAATATCTGAAAGAGATCCCATGGTTATCTAATCTGGGGTTTGTATAGTATAGATCACTCATGGGTGTAAAGAGGAACACAGAAGAGGTAAAAGTTCAGAGACAACTAAAGAGAAAGTGGCTATTAAGACTGAGGAAGGAGGGAACAGAACACTGGTTAAGCAGGGTGCTCCATTTTGTTCCTCTTTTTAGGACTGTATGAAGCATATAGCATCACTATTTGAAATGTCACAAAAATATATACATATATTCATACATATATATCAAGTATGTGTATACATACATATATAGAAGATTTAATACTGAAGCTACAAAAAAAAAAGACAGCAATCTTAAAAGGTATCCACTTAATTTTGGAACCGATTGCTAGCAACCTTGTATGGATTATTTCCCTTTTCCCCCAGGCAAGAAAGGAAAAGTAAAAGGACTTCAAAAATATGTCTGTTACATCACATACCTCAAAAATAAGAAACTGGCTATATGAAACAGAAAACAGGAGACTGAAAATTTGGGCAACAGCACTTATGGCTCACCACCCCAGATCAGAAGCAGTGCTGTCCAGTGTTAACTCATTAACTGCTTCTTCTGTACACTACGTTAAATGTAGCTGTTGACTAATAAATGCTTTCAAACAAAAAGTGCACATTTTCATTTTTTGCTTTCTGAATTAAAAACTTCATAAGAAAAAAAGTGTTATTAAAGACTAGGAAGATTTCCTTAAAAAAAACCCTGTAGTCAATATCACACAAGTTTGTATAGTTGAAATACTTACATGCTAGTGTGGGTCTGCTACTAATTGCCAGTTTATAGTAATGCAATGCCTCCGAAAACCTGCTGTTCTCCTGAAGTAGTAATCCTCTGCGTAAGGAAAAGGAAAAAGAGAGGGGGAGGTTACTGCAAAGAATAACTTCAAAATAAATGTTGGGAACAAAACTAAGGTAACAAACACATGCTGACTGGTATTTCAGAGATACAACTCTGCGTGTTACTAACAATTAAACGGGAAAAACAAGATTAAGTCATAAACATCAGGTGCATTCACATGGCTTTAAAAAAGCAGATGTTAAATGCAATAATTGGGCTTTTTTGGAAACCAGGAGATTCATTTATTTAGTTGAGAAAACGGTAGACTGTAAGACTTTTAAAAGTGGATGAGGTATGGTGGTGGTATTTTTAAGTCATTCATGTTTAGCCTGTCATTTTCCCTTGACTTGAAATAAGCAGCTCTTTTCCAAATGCACAATAAAATTAACACACTTCACATGCAGTTCCATAAGCAGTCCTCTTATTAAGTAATTTCACTACATTATTTACTGTACAGCTGAGCACCTACACCAGTTCAATTTTTCCCAGTCTTCTTTCTGCTGTGAACAAATTTAATAAACAAAGAGTATCAGAATTGATGCTGAATACTTCCAGTTCTCAGTTAGTTTCATAATCCAAGGGCTTTAATTAAATTTCTCAAGACAAACATCCTTGTGAATTACAATTTACACCAGCCACCCAAAAATTTCTCAGAAATAAGTGGTCTGGACATCATTGATATGCTTAAATGAAGGCTCAAAGCATTACAGTGTCCGTGAAGTTTTAGAAGACTGAAAAAAGCATACACAAATACATTTAAATCACAAGGATCTAAAAATCCATAAAAATTAGTCATTTCACAGTAGAGACTTAGGGCTTATTATCCAGGGGTACATGTCCCTCTTCACATACCTCAAAATATCCAGGAAAAAAATAAATGTAGCTGTTTCTTTTAGGTGGGAGGGTTATCATCTCTATTTGTAGTTTCTCTAACTTAACAGCAATTTTCTCTTCTTCCTCTATGCTTTTATCTGCTGATACCTTTTTGAATTGCAAAGATCCTGGATTTTTTCCATCTCCAGTATCTAATCAGAGAAATTTTTTTTTCCCTCCAAGTCTCACAAAAACTTTTTGAATTAAATCAGTAAACTTTAAGGGAAAAAATCTAACCCAAACCATATTATGACTCTAAAACAGAACAGTGCTTAGCTAAAGAAGTAACCATCATCTACACGGGTTCCTTCCCATCGTTGGGTCAGGCTTTAACAGAATGGAGGAATAGTCCCTCTTTTTTTCTACACTATCAGCACCACACAGCTTTGCTTCTGAAACTCTCAAGTAACTTCAAATTACATAGTAAACCACTTCTAATAGTAACAGGACTTACACTTAGTTGGTACTTGCAGTAATGTGAGCAATGAGGGGATAACATTCAGGATATTTTTTGGCATGGCACCAAGGCTTTTAACTAACTGTCAAGCATCTTGCAGGTGGCAAGAGGTATGATTGTCAGAATAGCAACGACATTTTGCAGATTTTCTAGAACCTGAATTTTGTTTACTCTAAAAAATTGTATAGTGTTATTATTCCAGGGGATGATATTATTGTTGTTGTTATTATTATTATTGCATTTTGATCCATTTTTCTATAGATAGAAATAGAATTAACATAAAAATAAATGACTTGCATTGTCTGACATTTAAGCAGCTTTTTTTTTTTTAATTAAAAAAAAACAACCCAAAACATAAACATTCTTAAACACAATTTTGTGACAAATTTATCAGAAAAGTTCCATTTATATTTTAGTTCTGGAATAAACAATTTCACATATTAAGAGAGGTAATACAGTAATTGGTCAACTTGAAAAAAATAAATTACTCTGGTGAGTGTATGACACTTGTGCTTTTTGGATTTAAAGAACTTTTATTTGTAATTATTATCAAATTAATCTTCTGCGTTCACTACATGCTTTAGTACTGACACACTTGATTAAATACTTGATACTTTTAAGGTCTTTTGGTCTACTTGTCTTTTTTTCCTTTTAAGTTATTCAATTAGCAGACATTGTCTCTCTCTTGCCCCCCACCTTGTTTTTATATAAGTCTAAACACATAAAAAACCCACTAAGCTGCTCAGATGTGAGATTGAATGCTGTATTCCAGCAAATAATTGTTTGTTTCTATTTGTTGTAAGGTTTGTTAGAACAAAAAGGAGAGAAAAAACATAGGATATAATTTTAAAAACCTTGACAAGGCATGAAAGTGCCTCTTTTTCTTGTGAAATTGGTCTTGATTGATCACTGGTTTTCCCTGTGGCTTCTGACAGTGCAAAAATGGTTAGATTTATGAGTCTCTAGTTCTAGTTTCAGATTAAACAAAGTCAGGAAAAGGCTTAAAGGAAAATCAAACAATAAAATTTTCAGCTGAATAAAATCAGGGGAGCATACTTCTGAGAGATAGCTGGCTTGAATGTCCACTGTGAAGGGACAATTAATTTAAATAGATAATCATCAGTTAAGATTATGAACATTTCATTAAATTTGCAAAGCATTCCTGAATTTACAGTGAATATTAGAGGAGTTCAAAAAGCAGTTATATTTCACTTCCAAGATGACAAAAATTACATTGTCTCTAGCTTTAAGCTCAAACAAAACGTAGGCATATAAATATGCTCACAAACCTCTGTGTAATTACTCATAAAATGTGACTAAAACTAAATGCAAACATTTCAAATTTAATTGCTGCCAAAATTAATACTGCTTATGCAACGTCTGGCTTCTCTTTCTAAGGCATGTATTATAATCCCAATCTCTTAACTACATTATTAGTTACTATTACTTCCACAGTTCTATTGCCTCATTCACTAAACAGAAGGAATATAAATGAGCAGTAGTTCAATATTTGCTTCTGTCTCCAGTTTTGACACATAAAACACCACCACCTTTTTATAAATATTTACCTTTGGAGCAAAATACAAATAAGCCCCAGAATCCCATGACAAAGTCCTGCTTCTTTCAAAGCTAGTTGAAGAAAATCTTCACATCTTTAGGTCCTATATTCTCCTTTCTGTTGCTGCGTTTCACAACATCTAAGCCATTTCCAAGACAAAAATCATATTCATTTTCTGCTAGGCATTACATCTGAGAGGCAGACCCAAGGTTCTGAGGGACAGTGCAGCTCACCCTTGATACCACATTGCTACATCAGTGAACCTAATCAGAAGAGATAGCAGGGCCGGTGAAGGAACAGCAGCCCAAGGGACAGACCCTGGGAGTGGAGGATGGATCTCCTCTACTCAAGGCTCTCTGCTGGTTGCTCCAGCAATGTTGCGTTCAGGCAGCAAGTCCAAGGTTTGCCTCTGAAACGATTACCTTTGCAATATGTTAAGTTGCATTAACAAGTCTTTGACAAGCTTCAAGTGGACGTTTGACTATACATTTATCCTCCTCCTCCAGAAACTGGTGAAGTATGGGTTATTTTGTCACTGAAATGCTTCCTTTTTCATTGACTGTAGTCTCATTTCAAAATGAAGGCCAAAGCCATGAAAGCAAAGTTCAATATGCCTCTTGTCTTATTTTCACTTTTACTATCTTCCAGCTAGAGAATTTTCGAAGACTAAAAATTACTTTGAAATCACTAAAAATAAAACTTTTCTATGCCAATTCAACTAGAGAATTGCAAAGTGTTCTTCAAGCAAACTGACCATGGTTGAACAGAAAGAAGTGGTGTCATAAGCTCTGAATTAATTGATGCATAATTAACAGAGTAAGCAAAGCTTTCAAGAAAAGAACTGACTCACTACATAATAGAGGAGCATCAACAGAGGTCAATGAAGTGAGACCCACAGGCCGTAACAATGAAAGTCCATGACCTCCTTGAAGTTCTTAGCATTTCATCAGCCTTGTTTTGATAAACCCATTTCCATCCTTCCTCCTTTATGCAACCCATTATCCTATAGCTGGTTGCTAGGGTTTCAGTCAGAAGCTGGCAATGGCAGATGGAGTCTATGCTTCCTCATCTACTGGCTCTCAAAAACTTTTAAACAAAAATTAGTTCCTTTCCAGTCACCTGGAAAGGAGTGATAATAGATTAAAGGTCTGTAAAAATGGCAAACTGAAAAAGGTTTGATGCGTGAATATTTCCATTTTTCATGTGTGTGTGTGTGAAAATAAAAAGGAAGACTAAATGTTTAGCCAAAACTTTCCAATTTGGCTAGTAAATGTACCTGATTGCACAATCAATGTAAAATTTGGTTGCCATTTTTTTTACTATTCTTTATTACATTGAAGACATCTTTAAAAGGTTCAGGGTGCATTTCTAAGGTTCGACAAATATACAGTTCTACTCCATTTCCTTTTAAAAGAGACCGTTGATTTTTATCTCATATTGCTACTTCCTTCGCCTATAGTAAATATGGGAAGAGTGGAGGAAGTTTCTCTGAATGACCAATTTCTAGAAGCAGAGGAAGAACATCCGTCAGCTGGAGTTCACACTCTGTGGGCACTGCTGAGTCTCCAGTAGCTCACCCCTCCCAGTGGCAGGGCACATGGATATGTAAAAAAGTTCTTTGTATAGCTAGGAGTGGATTTGTTCTTGCCATGCCTTTCCCCTTCTTTGTTTACACTTTGAAATGATAATTGCTCTTTAGAGATCACTGGCAGAGGGTAGAAGGTGTAGAAAGAATACAAAAGCAGCGATGCAGTACAAGGCATTGAACACAAGCCAGTGGAGGAGCATGGCAACTGGCACGCATTTGAGTACGTACCTGTCTGTTGTGGTTATAGAGACACAACACCTTCTCTCTTCCTCATGCAAGGATGAACAAAGGAAAGCATGTCCTTGACATAAGGATGCTTGATACAGAAGAGTAAACTCAAGTAATACACTTGGATAAAGAGCTTAAAACCTTCTAGCACTTTTTAATGAACTTTCTACAGTGGATAAGAATACCAAGCTAAATAAATAAAAAGCATAACCCCAAAATGCATGCAAAGTGCAAGGTCCTACACCTGGGTCAGAGCAATCCCAGGCACAGCTACAGACTGGGCAGAGAAG